CTACGACAAAAGCGACATTTTAAAATCCACATTGACAAATTGACAGTAAATTAGAGAATGACAAATTAATACAAAAAACGCTCACAGAGTTATACATTTATATATATATATATATATATATATATATATATATATATATATATATATATATATATATATATATATATATATATATATGCACGCGTGTGAGTATCTATAAGTAAGAGTGAACCTGTGAATTAGAATTTTTTTTTTTGAAAACTGCTTTCAACCGTATAGATTAACCCAAGGCGCAGAGTGGCGGCCCCTCAGTACTATGGGTTTTACTGTTGAAATGTTTATGGCAGGATTTTTATAATTGAGTTTACTAGCCATACAAATAGCTGGTTTTGAATTTAAAGTTTTAATTTTCCTAGGAAGGTTGAGATGTTTATAGCACGATTTTTATAATTGAGTTTACTAGCCATACAAATCGCTGGTTTTGAATTTAAAGTTTTAATTTTCCTAGGCACGTTGAGATCGAACATATTACCCGACTATTGACACATACATAAAGAGATAGAAAAGAGAATATGTGCGAAAATTGGGAATAAGCGAATGTGTCAGAAGCATATACCGAATATCTAGAGAATAAGTAAATGAGTCAAAGGTTAGAGATAATTTCTATGGAATAAACGAATATGCCTATGGTATATAGCTAATATCTAGTGAGTAAACAAATATGTTAATGGATTATAGCGAATGTCTATGGAATAAGAATGCGTCAAAAATTTATAGCTAATGACTAGGGAATAAACGAATGTGTTAAAAGGTTATAGAAGATAAAAGTGTTATATGTTTGTAGCGAATGTTTAGGGAATAAACGAATGTATCAAATGTTTATAGCTAATGTCTACAGAATAAACAAATGTGTGCAAATGTTTATTACGAATTTCTTGGGAATAAACGAATGTGTCAAATTTTCATAGCGAATATCTATGACAGTGTCTCTCAACCGGTGCAGAAGGTGCATTAATACGCCCAGAAAGTTAGTCATATTTAAATGGTTTATCGCGAATGTCTAGGGAATGAACGAACCTGTTAAATGTTTATAGAGAATATCTAAGGAATAAACGAATGTGTAAATGATTTATCGCGAATGACTAGGGAATGAACGAACGTGTTTAATGTTTATAGAGAATATCTAAGGAATAAACGAATGTGTAAATGATTTATCGCGAATGACTAGGGAATGAACGAACATGTTTAATGTTTATAGAGAATATCTAAGGAATAAACGAATGTGTAAATGATTTATCGCGAATGACTAGGGAATGAACGAACGTGTTTAATGTTTATAGCGAATATCTAAGGAATAAACGAATGCGTCAATGGTTTATAGCGGCTAATTCTAGTGGATAAACGAATGCAGCCAGTGTTTATAGTGAATGTCTCGGGAATAATCGAATGGGTCAATGATTTATAGAGAATATCTATGGAATAAATGAATGAGTCAAAGATCTACAGCGAATATCTAGGGAATAAACTGTCAAAATAGAATTTGTCAGAAATCGTTTACGTTAGACTTGAATTCAGTCGTAAATATAAAAAATTCTTGACAAGTTAAGTGAGGTAACTGGCCCACTATTCCATCATAATAATGCTCGACAGAACATTTCTTTGATGATCAGATAAAAGTTCTCACAGCTTACTTGAAAACTTGTTACTTGTCTATCACTTACATCAGATATTACGCTTGAGGATTACCAATTATTTTGCAATTTCCTTAATATAAAAAAAAAGTCAGTTCTTCAGAAGTCGGCAAATATTACCGAGAGCAGTTCTCGCTTAAAAAGACAAAAACCTCTCGTCGAATTGAACCGTGAAGTTACTAGTAATATGGCGCCAGGGAGCGAAATATCACGGTAAATATGTCGCTATAATTTTTTTTAAAAAAAGGCAATTTTACTGAAAGTAGTTATTATATATAAAATTATATATTCATACACAGCAGCAATTTTCTGTTTTTCCTATCACAAATTAGATTTTCCATTTTTTTTTGTTTGATTTTAATTTGATAAACTGAAATATTTTTGCAGAATCTAAATGTAATCTGTGTTATGAGTAATAAAGAGTAGTCGCCCCTTGTTTTTTTATTCTCCTTTTTGAGAGAGCTATTACTGTTTACTCGGACTATAAATGGACACTCTACGCAAACCTTGTATTTTCAGTTGAATAAAGCTCTCTTAAAGCCTACACTTGCGTATTTTTATCATTACAATCTGCTTTTTCTATTAATGTTGCTGATTCACTTAAAAATATGCAAAATACGTAAATAAAATAAATCATAGAGGACAAATATTTTTATATTACCCTATTAACTGCCTTTTTTTTTTTAATGCGCATTTTTGGCCCAGACAGGTGTCTTAGTAGTTTATTTATTCCTTAAGTTAATTTTCAGTAATTACCATTGTCATTTTTATAGAAACTAGAACATCAAATATGTATGTGTATAAAACATCAAAAAATAATATTGATTAGAAATAATAAAAAAATATTTTTCAAAATAGCCATTATTTTTCTACTCGTGAAATATAAAATTACGACAGAAAGTGTCTTCTTACGGATAATAATAAAAACTTTAAAGGCTAAGTTTTGTAAAATATACCTCTGCAAATGCAATTTTTTAATGGGTATTTTTGGCCCAGACAGATGTCTTATGAGTTTATTTTTTCCTTATGTTTAATTTCAGTAGTTACCATTGTCATTTTTATAGAGACTAAAACATCAAGTAGATATGTGTATAAAACATCAGGAAATAATGTTGTAAAATATACCTCTGCAAATGCAATGTATGTAAGCAATTCAATGCAAATACAAGGAATAACATCTAGTGATTTTAATGTTAACAGATCCCCAAATGGGACTCATGGTAGGTAACGGGTTAAATATTTTACTAACGCTGAGGAAATAAATGACATCAAATGAAATTCGTGATGATTGATCAGATGAAATAAACTGCATTATATATATATATATATATATATATATATATATATATATATATATATATATATATATATTATAAATTTATTGATTTAAAATATGTTTTTTTCGCTACACAGTTCTAACCATGTTTCAAAAATGGAAGCTAAAAGCTCCGAATTTAATTTTGTAATTAAATTAAAGACATGAGTTTCATTCTCAATCGAATTTTGGCGAAATTTACATTGAGCACTATTTTGTTAAAAATATCTATAAGAACACAGGATTATATATCTTACTGTTTCTTTCTTTATATATATATATATATATATATATATATATATATATATATATATATATATATTCAATGTAAATACATGGAATAACATGTAGTGATTTTAATTTTAACAGATCCCCAAATGGGGCTCATGGCAGGTAATGGGTTAAGCTTCATCAATGAAGCCTCAAACATCTCGAAATTACACTGTAACTATACGTAATAAACGAGCCATTTTCATTATCCCCAAAACAATTAAATGCTGATAAACTCAAATATAAACAATTAACATTGACCTCGACGAAAGCCAAAATTATTCCGTCCTTAATTTTGTGTTGTGCATTCATTCTGTTGCGAAGATCTAAGATCAGGAATGTCCCAATTATATTTTCCAATCAATATTTTTTTAAAAAACAAAAATGAAACCACACCTGAACACACATTTTAGATAGATAAAACCATTGGTAAGGAATGGCGTTGTGCTTGTGCGAACATTTTTTTTTGTATTTCCCTAATGTATGGCCTATCAGGGACCAATTCAATGAGTCTATTAGAATCTTTGCCAATCAAACTTAGAAACCCAACCACCACTGGAATTATTGATGCTTTCATGTTCTATTATTTGTTATAGTATAATTAGTAATAACTATTCTGTTATAATTGTGTATGTTCCGCTATTCGTTAATTCACACGACCATTGTGTCCTGCCAGTACCTCATAAATAATAAACTATTCCGTTTTGATCGCAGAGAAAGACGAGGGAAAAACACATTGTTGCAGCGTAAAAATGATAGAAAGAAAGAATGAAAGAAAGACTTAGAGAGAGTGAGAGAATCAGATTAAACTGATAGCAACAGATACTACACATTTATCTCATACTTACCTGGTGTAGGGATCCGTCCCAGTGCTGGTGGTAACATGGCTACGACTATCTTGGACCGGCTCTTACCAACTTGGACCAGCTATGAGAAGCCAAGACCAGCTATGACTAGTTTAGACCTGCTCTGACCAGCTTGGACAACCTTGGACCAGCAGCCCAATTGAAAACACTCGGGTCCCCACGTTAAAAACTGACCTTGTGTCACAACCTGACTCAGTGGGGTGGGGTCAAGTAAATCTCTACTATACATTGATCTTAGCCAAAAGTCCCACAATTTTCTTGTCGCTCCAAGCTGGTAGGATGTGACACAAGGCTTAGTGCGGGGAGCTTGAGAGCGTACACCTCGAGCCAGATCGTTTGCGCTGACATTAGTATAGCTCTCCTCTTTAGCGTAATGAGGTAGGTACTGGAGACTGGGCACCTCTCAATAATATATTCAGTTGTGCTCTGGCCGCAGACAGGGACACAAATGAGAGGGCAAACGCTAAAACTTGATCCCAGCCAAGAAAACCGAGAGCGCCATTTTTAACACGCACAATATCACACGACAGAAAGAGCGGTATGTAATCGCCCAAAATTGACTAACCATGTATAAGATAACATCATCCGCTGTATTATTTTGACATTATTATTAAGAGAAATGTTTGTAAGACGTGAATTTTGATCGCATGGAAAGAGGGGAAAAGACACTACTGAACTTCAATGAGAAAAAGAAAGAAAGAAAGAAATAAGCAAACAAACAAAATAGGGAATGTAAAAGATTACCCCTTGGAGCTCTGCATTTCTGAACAATTTCAACCCTTCTGCCTGAGCTCTTGATTCAACATTCGAAAATAATTAGTATGTAATGTTTCGCACGGCAGGCACGATGGAATAATAGATAACGGCTTGGGTTGAGGA